AAAAAAAAAAAAAAGTAATATATTATTATGGCGTTGACGTGTTAACAATTTATCGATCATCTTATCTTAAAAGTATATATAGAAAATAAGATGATAAGGGAGAAGAAAGAGAAAAAAAAAAGCATCTTACGAATATCTTGTAGACCCACTATCCTTTCTGAAACTCGATCGAACGGTAAACAAAAAAATGTGAACTTTGTTGAACGGCTAGGAAAAAAGATGGGTATATATAGGAAGGAACTTTCGTGGAATTGCTTTAAAGAAAAACGAAATAGTTTTGAGATTTTTCTTTCTTTATTCTCGTACCTGATCACAAAGAACTTACGTAATAGATTTTTTTTTTCTCTCTATGCATATTTCTTTCCGGATGAAATTGAATCGAAAGGTTTTTGAACACATTTGTTTCAACATTTTTCACTCCCCCCTTCACCCGTTCCCTTCCCCCCCCCATCCCCAATGCTTTTTTGTTTTCAAATCTGTCGGAAATTCGGGATAAATCTTTCGTTTATAACAAAACTCGCATGTTAGAAAAGAAAATGAAATATCAAAGGGGAATTCGTCGGTGTGTTGATACACAGAATTTGTTTGATCAACGTTTCTTGTCCAAAATATCTGCCATGTTGTATTCTTCTCTTTACAACGGTTTAACCATGCTTGTAGATTTTTGTTTGTTTCTTTCTTGTATTTTGTTTTAACTATTTTTAAGGGGGAACGTGGGGGTGGGGGGAGGCAAAGGAGTGGTGTGATTTCCATTTTCGATGTTATTAACGTTTAAACTGTATGAAAGAAAATGTAGCTTTGGTGTTTAACAAAGCTAAAGAATGTGGCTTTTGAAGGGATAACGAAAGGATAGTTTTACCTAGCAAGTCAATGTTTAGATAGAACGAGCCTTTGAAGTTAGCGTGTTTATTAAAACTGTCGTCACTATTACGGCAAACTGGTTGGTCGTTTCTATTTAAAAGTTTTTTAACAAGAGGAACGCAAAAAAAAGAAGTACAATAAAAAAATAAAAAAAAAAAAAACAGAGATAATTATTTATGTTTAAGAAATTGTATTATTATTTAATCGATCGTTCGTTACTTGTCCCAAGACGATTACGTGAGAATATCGTTCATACGTTTTCTAGTAGAAAGAGAATATATATATATATATATTGCGAAAGTAAGTTTGTTAGATAGTTTGACGTTTTACCAAGGTTCCAATTCCCATTGGTTGTAGATGCAAAACTAGCAAATGATTCGCTAATGTCCAACCAAACTCGAGAAATTAAAGTAAAGTGAAGTAAAAGCTTGTAAGGGTTGTATTGTCTTCGTATTATGTTTTCATAATGTTCTTGGGATTTTATTTCCATACGAATCCCATTATGTATGTATATATTTATCTTTTTATATACTCGAATAATTCCCTTTGGGTGATATTTTAACGATGGGTCGTTTAAGCGTTATCCTTTTCCTTGAGATTGCTCATGACCTTTCAACTTTATCTTCTTTCCAGGATACGCGGTTTAATCCTGGCTGCCATCGTGAAAATCATATTTTTTCGAATTAATTTTTTACCTTGAATATTTTTGAATACTATACCTTTTTATCGATAAATTATTATCACCAATTATTATAATTGCTTTCGATTGTTTAAAAGTATGAAAAATGTATTTTAATGAATATTAGATAATTGTGAGTCAAATTAACACATTTTTAAAGCTGGTTGTTTTACACAAACTTAATCTATTTCTTGTGCATAGAAATACTTTGACGTCACTATCTAATATATAAAATATTGAAAAAATGGTTGAATTATTAAGTTCAAGTATCATGGAGAGGAATGTTTAATAAATCAACGAGAAATGTATTTTTAAAACAAAATACACGTATATACGTACAAATTATTTAGATTAAAGTTTTCGTTAAAATTCAGGCAAAATACAGGTACGTATTAAAACACATCCGGCAATCTAGCGTTAAAATAATATAATTGACAAAAGAATCATTTAATTAATACGTTCGAGTTGTATTTAATGAAAACAATAGAACAATCGATATCAAGTACACATAATATACACATACAAAAACATCGATTGAAATTGATCTATATACATATTTCCATGTACAATACTTTCGATGTTGAATCGAAATACGTAAAACGACATTTGGAAAGTTTCTCTGATATCGTACCTGTTTGTGAACGAAACGAATATCCACAACACGTATACACGTATTCACATATACGAGTAGTTAACGCCGAGTTATAACTGAGTTCTTTTTTTTTTCTTTTTTTTTATATTCGACGGAACATTTCATCTGATTGGCCTACTTCCGTATCATCTAATCCGAAGGTGGACCGGTTATACTGATGATTCATAGAATTCATTTGAGACTAATACCAGTAACCACATGGCTTACCTTTTCTCAACGTTAAACGATTATTACGAATATAGAAATGGTGAAACATTTATTAATTATTATGCATTTCTTAATGTCTAATTTTTTTTAATATATTCACAATTCATTTGAAAATTATATTTTTTTTTTTTTTTTATAACGCTAAAGTTATAATATTATATTGAAAATACGCGCGTGTAAATAATAGAATTTTATTTAATCAACGTAGAATATTATTTGACGAATATATTGTTAAATATAATATATATATGTATATACATTTGGCGTGAAAGCAAAAAATTGATTTGTTTTGTTCTTTCGATTTGGTCAACGTACTAATTAGAATTAATGCAGACCGATGAAGTGTAACACGTGTTTCAAAGTTGCCGCTTTAAATTTCATATTAATTCAAAGTTCGATCGAATATTAATTAAGATGACGATAACGTGGGGTTTTCATTAGAACCGGTACTTGAACCCTGCCTATCCTTCATCGAGAAATGCAAAGCTTCGTTACGAACTACGAGAAAATCTCGAGTATTATTCATCGAAAGATTCATACAATTTTGATGCAAGTAAATCGAATCAAACTGTTCTAAGAGTGCAAACTTGTATTACGATTGCAATTAGGTTTTTAACTTGCTTCAATTTTTCTTTCTTTTTTTTTTTTTATTAATAAAGTAGTTATTGGTCATAAATTTATATTAAAAAAGAAAAACAAGAGAAAATCTATGCTCTTTCATATATATTATAATACAGGATAAACGTAAAAGCATCTATGAGAAAAAGCTTGCGAATTACTTTGCGAAATAATAATGGAAATAATAAAAAATATAATACGATATAGTACAATTTGATGGGGGCAACTTCATGCGTTGGTTGCTATTACGACTTATGTACACATAAAACATATAAGTTATGTGTTGTAGTCAATAATCATGTCTTTTCCATATCTATCAAATAACCCACTTTTCGATCGTAAACTAAGCAAAGTTATCAACAACGTTTATTAACAAATGACAATTTTTTGGTCTTGCTACTGTTTGAAGGATTTATTATGAGAATATTATATCTAAAATGAAATGAATCATTATATATGTTAAAAACATTTTATCGAAATAATTCTATGGAAAAGGAATGATTGGAATGAGTTAAGGGGAGGGAGAAAGAAGGAGGATAAAAAAAAAAAAGATAAAAAAATAAATGAAAGATTAATAAAGTAGCGAATAACGTAAGTTTATTCGAAAATGTTCTTGCGGCTATTGGAGAAAGGAAATTACCGTTCTTCCAATGGAATCGGGAACGTGCGTACCTTGATTCGGGTTTGCGAATACCAGGATTGTATCCAACGTACCGAATGTCAGGGTAAATTGGGAAGGAAAATTGGATTTACATTTTTCGGCAAACGATCAGTATACCCTGAGGGGTCTGCTGCTGCTGCTGCTGCTGTTTCGAGAAAAAGTAGGTGCCGGTAACGGTTTCGACCTAGTTTCTCATTTTGATCTCTCTCTCTCTACCTTCACTGTCCCAACCGATTCGTTAATGCTGCCGAAAGAATTCAGTATCATGATTTTCAAAGCCTCAAATCTCCCTTTGACATTATCTTAATCTTCTTTTTTCTTTTTTTTTTTTGAAGTATTCCAAAAGTCTACTCTCTCTTTTTTCGATTCCAATGATTTCGCATATTTCTACGTTGCGATTAGAAAAAAAAAACAACAAGGATTTCGACCAATGGGGAAAGGAAAGAAATAAATGGTTTTTATTGATTTTTTTTTTCTTCTTCCCACCCTCCCCCATCCTTTCGACGTTACGTTCTTTGTATTCTTCTTTTTTTTTTTACAAATCTAACAAAATTACTGAACGATAATTGATGAACCGTGGTCTATTTCTTTATTCGAAAATATTATCGTGAAAATGCAATATTAATTTTACTTTGTTTAGTTGTTGTTGTAAATAACGCAAAAGTCTCGAAATCGAAACTAATTTTTAGCGTAGCACTCCCCCTAAACTTTCACCGTATAAACTGAAACGAGTTTTAAAAATAGACTTCACAATATAAAAGTAAGTCAATCATTATAACATGACTTTCTTTTTTTAATCGTGTAAATAAGATCAATAAAGTAAGCGTTCATTATGAAAAGAAGAAAAAGAAAAAACATGATTTAGTAAAGTGTAGAGATAATAATAATAATAATACCCAACAGAATAATCCAACCTATCGAACTATTATTAATAGTAATGCATATTTTTCCGGGGATAGTCATTGTTAGAAAAATTGATTATTTTATTTTCCTATTTTATGATTTAATATAAATTTGATGTGGTAAAAATGAAATATATGATGAAACGGGCGCGAACGCGAATAATATACTTATTTTTTCTTTATAATTTAAATACTATAGTTGATACTAAAAGTAGAATTGTTAATAGATAGTTATTATAATTTATAGATGCATTGGAATATGTCGAATAAAGAACTATCGAAGCTTTTGCTGGAACATTCACAGAATGATCAACCATTGCTTTACTGAAAAATAAATAAATAAATAAAGCCTTGTAATATTGTCGAAATATTAAATAAAATAAATGAAAAACTAAATGATTTATTTATCATACGTAATATTATCTAGAATTGAATAAATATGACTTACTTGATTGGTACTTTTGAATTGACGCTTGCTACTTTTACTATCGTCGAGTTTAAAGATTTTTTTCCCGCGATGACTTTCAAATCGACTATTTGTGGTTTATCGTCCAAAAAATTGATAACAAGTGTCACCAATTGATGCTCGTTGAATCGTGAAATTACTAAAATATTTTTATCAATGACCATACTTTGATACGATCCGTTTTTCATTACGCTCATTGTATTACGTAAATCCATTAATGCGGTGTAAATTTTGTAATGCGACTCGTTGTTTTTGTTTTCTTGTTGATCTTTTAAATTCAAATTTGTGTAATCGTGATTAATCGGTAACCAAGATTTCTTTCCCTTTGTGAATCCTGATAATAATTAAAATTAAATTACTCTTCAAATGATTCTTACAATAATAATTCGTTCGTTTTCTTTTTGTTTGATCAGACAAATTGTATAAAATACAATGGATCGTTTTTATTACCGGCAAAAGTTGTTTTATCCCATTGAAATGGGGTTCTATACGGATCACGAGATTTTTTTTGAAAACCTTCTTCCCCAGCAGCACAAGCTTGTGTATCTTGCGTCTCTTTAAACGTTATAGCTTCGTTATTAGTCATACCAATTTCTTCCCCATAATAAGTTATCGCTACACCAGGTAAAACCATTGCTAACATGGTCATTTGATCAGCTCTACCTGGATAACGACTGGCCATACGACTACGATCGTGATTACCCATCTATGATTAATTATTCAAATTTATCATTTAAATAATAATAGTTTGAGACAAAAAAATAAAGATTTTAACTTACCACCCAATTTGCTACACTTCCATTTGGCATAGCCTTGAACCAGGAGTCTATTGTCTTTTTGAAATCGGTTGCACTCGATTTATTATTAACATCGGTAATGAATTTAAAATTAAAAGGTACGTCCGAACCGTATTTGTAAAATTTAATAGTATTTTCTAAGGACGTGTATGCTTCCGTCATTATTACCTGTCAAAAAATAAAATCAAATAATAATAATTTTTAATTTTTTAATTATATATATATATATGTGTGTGTGAATTTAATTGAAATTTATATTAAAATCAATATTTTAAACAATATTATTATATTAATACGAAATATACCTTTTCTTCTTCGTTATGTATATTCGTATAAGAGTTGACAATGTTTCTCCAATTGTGTATTAAAGTATAAGTTTCTTCTTGATCTTTGGTATAAATGTGTTTTAAATAATCATATTCATTTTTGGATGCTTTAGTCGCATTGTTTATTGGTTCGTTCAATTCAATATTGCTTACTTCAAAAAGATGAGGTACCGCATCGATATAAAATCCATCAACACCCTTATTCAGCCAATATTCTATTATTTGCTATAAATTATTATAATCGATATTTAATTGAATCGTTAATGAGATAGAACGATTTAGGTTTTACTTATTTTACGATTATCATTTATCGATAATTACATTACACCTGTATTCCACTTGCCTGCATTTCAAATACGACTTCTGGATTTCTGTAATTCAAATCTGGCTGTTGTGAAAGAAATTGATGATAATACCAGGCCTTTCGTTGTTCATTATAAGTCCACGATGAATTTCCAAACACGCTCAGCCAATTATTTGGTGGATTTTCTTTATTTTTGTTTACCCATATATAATAATCAGCATATTTTCCATCACCTTTGACACTATTGATAAACCACTCGTGTTGATCCGAAGTATGATTCGGTACGAGATCGAGAATAACCTGTTAATATTGTTTAATAATATTATTATCATTTTGAAATAGATAAAATAGGATATTGAATACCTTTAATCCGAGATGTTTGGCTCTTTTGATAAACTCGTTAAAATCTTCCATCGTGCCATAATCGGGATGGATATCGCGAAAGTCAGAAATATCGTATCCGAAATCTTTCATGGGACTTTTGTTGATCGATGATAACCAGATTCCCGTAACTCCAGACTCAACGAAGTATTGAAGTTTATTTGTTATTCCTGTATCATAAATGAAAATACTTCCATCTCTCTCTCTCTCGCTCTCTCTCTCTCTCACTCTCAATTTTCGTTTAATTTAATTTTATATTTCGTATATAAGTATTTCGTGCAAAGTATACGTAAGCATAAAAAACGGTGGCAAAGAAAAAAAAAAAAAAAAAGTCCCGTACGTAACTACTATTATTATTATTATTATAATTATTACAGTCGCGACGTTATTATTACCAAGATCGCAATCATACGAGCGTGTAATTATTGCTATGTCAGCCAGTGAGTGTGCGTTGTTTTTTTTAACCGATTCGTATCTCGAAATTGGTAAACATCGTTCGAACGGTGGTAGATGAAAGAACAACAAAAAAAAAACTATAGAAAAATATATATAAATAATTTTGTCGGGAAATATCAGAAAGTTTTGTCTCTATATCGATTAGAAATGATTATAATTAAATAATCTTTACCAACGAGATCACCGATGCCATCCAGGTCGCTATCCTTGAAACTTCTTGGGCAAATTTGATAAAAAACAGCATTTTTCCACCATCCTTTATTACGAATTTCAGCGATTGTTAATGACGCAAATGAGTAACACAGAAAAATGAATACGTACTGACGCGAATGTATCATTTTGACGATTAGAAGGTTGCAACAATACTGCCACTCCTATATAAGGAAATTACCTTGCAACGCAAAAGAACTGGACATAATGAAGAAAGACATCGTTCGAGTTTTGTGATTATCAGTAATGTCATGGAAATAGACGAGAAAAAAATGAGATATATCTTTTGGTATCGCGAATTCTACTGATAACGATCGAATTCTACATTGAAATACCGTAGCAACATGTTTCTAATACGCGTTTTATCATTTATATATCCATCTATTATTTATTTATCTAATATTTATCTAAAATATACTACCGAAGAAGATGTTGCCATTGCATTGGCATTCGTATTCGATTCGTCATCGAATGCAATTACTATACTAATTTTTCATTTTAAAACCGAGGAAAAATATTTTTCGATTATTTGTCAAATTAAAACGGGGAAACAAAAATTGAAAAATATTGTCTTAGAAAGAATTATTTTATTTACCAATTGACATTCTTACTGTATTCTCGTATCGTGAGATGATAACAACTTGAGTTACTTGTTGATGATAATAATTTAAGATAGAAGAAGAAAAATATCGATATCGTCTCGTAATGCGAGATAAATGCATCGAGAATTTTTTTCTTTATTTCTAGGTAACGAATTGAAAGAGTTAAATATAATTGAAAAAAAAGTTTGTCTTGTTCTCTTCCAATCGATAATAACTGTTCAAGAAGAAGAAGAATACAAATTGTTGTTTATTTTATACTTCTTGTATTATATTTAAGTAAATCGGATTTAAAAAGAAAATATATATATTTAAAAGAAAAAGATAATACATTAATTAATATGTGATACAAGTTTATATTTTTTTTTGTATTTTATAATTATATATTTAATTTAAAAAAAAATTAAATAAAATTTTTTTTTCTAAATTAATATATTTAATTTTTTTGATTAATTATATTATTTAAATTTATATTTGATTTTGTTAAATCGAACAGATTTGTTTCTTTTTTTTTTTTGTCTATAACAAATGTATTATTTGACGAAAAGATAAATGATCGATTTCTATCGATCGGATTTAAAACTTAGGTGTATAAAAGGTAGAAAGTTGTCAGGCTTAATTGAAACGAACGAACAAGGATAATTATGTTTCCGTCTAGGTGTCAGAATGACATGACACGATGGAAGAACCCTTTTGGAATTTCCTAGCCAATTGTAATTGGCAACGAGATCGACGTGCTTGTAGTTTCATCGATTCGCTAATTCAAAATGCTTTGATTCATCATTAATCTCGATTTAACGATAGGTTTATACATTTGTGAATGAAAGTTAAAGGTTAATGAAACTGACTTAGGAAGTATTCAAAAGAAACGGATGAGGTTTTCTTTGAGATTCAAAAAACAAAAAAAAACCATCTATTACGTGATTTAAATATTTAGTGTATTTATCATTTTATTTATCCTAAAATTAATATTATTTATATTTCGAATGAGAGAATCTTTTCAGAAATTTCAATCGAATTATTTTTGTCTAACTAATCAAATCAATCATCGTTTCACTTCGTTTACAGAAATAACAATCGTTTGATCATGGTCACAATTTTCTACTAATTAAGATTATTCTTACTTTTATAAAATATTATTTCATTCAGTAAATAATATCTTAATTAAAATTCGCTGGTAAGAATTAATGCCGTTTGTGAAGGAACTTTTAGGTTGTCGTTTTGTTCAACGGTGGTACTGTAAACAGAATAACAAAATTACAAAATTCTAATATCCATGTATCCTATAGAAATTATATATATATATAAAAATAGATATCTAATATAATTTGATTATTGAAAAATCGATGGAAATGTGTTAACATAGTTCGGGATATATCGAAGAATTATTTTCTTTACGATAAAATACGAGATTAAAAAAAAAAAAAAAAATATAATAAACTTTATACGAAAGTATCACTACGTTCAATTAATATCACAACTTATACGATTCGACTTACCCAATAGGTACGCCGTCAATTTCAGTAGCGTAATAAAGTTTAAGTTTCTTTGGCACGTTATCAAATATGTTCAAATCAACTTGTTCCTCTTGATCTCCGAAATTTGCTACCACGTAAACAGACTCGTCATTTATCGTTTTTCTGTAATTAATATTATAATTAATGACATATATATGATCATTTATACATGCATGATATTTATAAAAAGAATAATTGGAAGGTAACGTAAATGAAAAAAACAGCAAGTAGTTGACGTGAAATATTAATCGTATAAATTACTTCAAACTTTACCTTGTAAATGCTAAAACATTTTTGTTTGGTACTTTTAAATTAAATCCGTCCTTTTCCGTAGATAAATTTTTCTTGAAGTTCGAAAGAGTCACTACCATCGTATAGAATGACTTTTTCGATACTTTTTCATTGGCCAAATTTAATGTCAAGTAATCACTGTTAACGGGTAACCAAGTGTCGGAATTCGTAGAAAATCCTACGTAACGTTAGAATAATATTATAACATGATTAAATATTTATATATATAGAAAATAATTTTATTTAAAAATGATTTTTAATTTAAACACTATATATGATTAATTATGATATGATTTAATTGAAACTATATATATATATAGAAAATAATTTTATTTAAAAATGATTTAATTGAAAACGTACCAGCAGCAGTACTGTTGTCCCATTGGAATGGTGTCCTACCATAATCTCGGCTTATGGAAAGGTAATTATCTTTGCCAATCTTACAGGCTTCGCTATCTTTTGTTTCTTCCCAAGAAAGTATGGTATCTTCCATACCAATTTCGTCACCATTGTATACCACGGAAACACCAGGAAGACAGAATATCATGGCCATGATTATGCGTGCTCGTTTATTGTTTCCAAAACGCGACACTAATCTACGATTGTCGTGATTTCCGCTCTAAATGATAAATACAATTTACAACACATTCGTTTTATTTATTTGTAATTTATTATCTCATTCTTATATGTTTACGAATGCGATAGAATTGTTATGTCATATGAATTTATTTTGTTTTTTTTTGTTCTTTTTTTTCTTAAAAACTGATACACCATCGTTCGTTTTGTTTTCGATAAAAAGCAACGAGAATAAAATATTAAAATAAAAAAAAGAAAAAAAAAAAATGCGACGAATTCGCGTGCACGCGTTTATTAGAGAATTTCGAATAAAAATGCGAATTTTTCTATTTGTCGTCGTGATAATTATTATTGCATTCTTCGTCGTCGGTCGTGTTCATATAAAAAAAAAAACAAAACGAAGAAACAAAAAAAAATATATAAAAAAAATCGTTCACAAATAAAGTTTGAAATGGGATTTATCTGTTGACGCGTGACTTACCACCCAATTGGCAACGCTTCCATCTGGCATACTCGATATCCATTCTTCCACGTATTTCGCAACGTCCGATGCAGTTGAATCTTTATTTAATTTGTCGATAAAATTAAAATTAAAAGGAAATAAAGCACCGTGTTTGTAATATTTCATAGTATTATCCAAACTGGCGTATGCTTCGACAATTAAAATCTTTGGACAATTCACTTTGGCGGAATATACGTCCAAAAAGTCACGCCAACTTTGAATTAATTCGTAGCTTTCCGGTTGATCTCTCGTGTAAATTTTTTTCGTTGAATTATATGCATTAGGATTATAAGTAGTACCGACCAATGGTTCGTCCAAAAATTGTTGATTCTCGTAATAATATGGTGCAGCGTCCAATCTAAATCCATCTACGCCAAGATCTAACCAAAACTTCATTACGTTCTGTAAAATATTCATTCGTTTGAAAATATGTTTAATTAACACATTATTCTATATTAGAGATATAATAATAATATTAATAATCTTAATACTTTGCACGTGTGTGGTGTGTGGATTATCGTTAGTGTTCAATTCAAATACGAACTAAATCAAATTTCGATTGTATAGAATAATTCGTTAGGCTTCTTTTTTTTTTTCTTTTTTTTTTGTCCAAGTTAGAAGAGAAATTGAAAAATGCAGATTAGATATATTGCGTCATATTACTGATTAGATTAACGTCGGGGCATCGATGTGAACGAACGTTCAATTTTAAAACGGACAAAAGCATTTGATCTTCCTCGTCTTCATGAATTAATAAAAAACGCGATGATAAAAGTTATTAGTTGAATTAAAAATGATAAAATTGCGCGATTATGTGATTAGATAAATTCATCTTATATTGTTTAAGATTTATAATTATATATATATATATATATATTCGAAAAATTGGATAAATTACCATCATCTCTTTTCTAAGTTCTGTGCTGTTGTAATTTAATTCAACTTGGAATGTCGAGAATTGATGATAATAATATTCCTGTCTATCTTCATTCCAAATCCATCCTGGATTATCGTAAATACTCATCTGTAAGTGTAGACAACAAATATATTTGTTAGTAGTCAATCATTCGTGATTAGAAATTTCCAGATTATAGGAATTAATCATGGAATTGAACATTATTGAATTACCCAGTTATTCGGATACGTAATTGTACCGTTAGGAAGAGTTCGTCCTTTTCTCCAAACGTAATAGTTTGTATAGGGATCGATTTTTTGTATACTCCATTCGAACCATTTGTGTTTGTCCGATGTATGATTAGGAACGAAATCCACGAATAATTTCATACCCTTCTCGTGAGTAAGTTTAGCCAATTCTTGAAAATCTTTCAACGTACCAAAGGTTGGATCTACTTCGGTGAAATTACTAATATCGTAACCCATATCGAGCATTGGACTTGTATAGAATGGAGATAACCATATAGCATCGACTTTTAAATCCTTAAAGTGATCCAGTTTACTGATTATACCTGCGTGGAGAGAAAAATGTTATATGAAAATGTAAGTGTCAATCGATGGATCGTTCAATTTGCTTGATGAAAAATAAACCGCGACATTTTTATCGGTTTAACTGAAATATATTTTCATGGATTCTAGGATAATACAATATATATGGACAATACAAGAAATATTTGATGGAAATTAAAATATCCTCGAGGGTGACATTTATTATAATGAATATATACATATATATATATATATATATATATATATTTTGTAAGAATTAAATAAAATATCTGTTGAAAATTTGTCGAATAAATAATCAAGTATAGAACGATAGGATGAAATTCAATATAATTATTTATATTAATCTATTGACAATCTCTAATGATAATGTAATGATATTGTAATTCTTTTTTTTACCGAACATATTTTAATAAAAAAAAATATATCGTTCAATTTACCTTGGATATCACCTATACCATCTCCGTTGCTGTCCTTAAAACTTCTCGGATAAATTTGATAGAGCAATAAATTTTTCCACGATGTTGGATTGCAATTTAAGTTTTTACCGGTTACCACGACCAGTAATGCGGCAAATATAAACCACCCCTTCATTGTATTAGTCAAATTTGTATTCAATTCAAGAGAAATTCAATATTGTATATTATTCTATTCGCGAATTTGGTTTTATTTGAACGCAACGTTTCGTATCACTCACGATGTATCTATTGTGCAGAAATAAAACGATGCGTTCCTTATATAGTCATATTCGGGTATATTATGAAAAGTGTAAATCATAATAACCTTATTAGTTTCGTAAATTGTATGCATCTATGTATGTATGTATATGTATATTCAAATGTAACAACTGATACTGTCACGAAACTGTCATACAAAAAGTCAAATAGGAAGGCCGAATAACAGATGTCAGATAAGTTTATAAATGGTCTTATAGCAGGAACGAGTAATTTTTCGAAAAAAAAAAAAGGAAAAATAACATGTGTTATTAATCTTTGATGATAATAAAAAAATATTTTCAAACTGTGTGATATCATTGATCTGGAAAAAGTGATTATACGAACGAACGAATGAATGGGCGCGCGAGTTTGGCTAAGCGATTATAATTCAAATTAAAATCAATATTTCTTTTCTCTTATAACTTTGTGTACATTATAAATTTGATGAATTTATTCTAACATATATTTATTAACACAAAAATATGAAACATTTGATGGTAACAAAAGGGGAATATAAATAAATAAATATAACTGCTGCAACATTTTTTAATTTCTTTTTATTTTCTTTTTATTTAATACTTTAAAACTTCGAATTTTGTTCATTTATAATCCACGGATGTGCTAACGTTAAAATCTATAGAAATATGTCGCATTAATTTGTCCCTTTTTTTTTCATTTTAATTAAATATACAAAGACGTAGTAGATCTTTGATATTTAAATATCATTATTCCGAAGTATAAAGCTTCGAACTAAAATCTAATCGTGCGGTTTAATGGTATTATGTACTACGCGAACGTATAAAATCTTCTATAGTATGGCTACCTTTCAAAGGACCATATACGCTTACAAAGTTAGCCGATGGTACTATGAATATCTATATTTAAAATATTCTTGCATTGTATGGTCAAATTAAATGTCATCTCCAGAAACCTTCGTATATATATTTTATTTTAATTGAAATAAATTGTATTTTCGGTAATTGTGCGTTTAAAATTAATCTTCATTCTCTAAAAGACACACGTAGAATGTAGTCTTTGTGTCATGTTATATACGATAATAATCATAGACAATTCGGCATGGAGTAAAATAGCGATTGTATTAAAGTTTCATTCATAAAGGAAACAATTTGATTGTATTTCGTTAACTTACCAATCTCCTTTTACTTGCTACCTGAATTATTCGCTTGTAATAGAAACTAGCTTAATTAAAATTAACAGAATCGAGTTATAGATATATATATGTTAAGATTAATATTCCAGATAACGAGGATTCTATAGATTGTTCAGAATATTTTGGTCAATTTATAAAATATGTTTTGATGGTTTAAATTTAAAATGTTCTAAGTTAAAAAAAAAATATAACTTAAATACAGTATAATTAAATGTAATAGAACTTTAAACAAAATTATTATTCAAATTTACCTATCATCATTTTAAATTGTACGAAGTCTATTTCGTTAATTTGACTATTATTTTCGTTAACGATTATTCAGATAACAGTTTTTGTATTTCCAAGGAACGTTGAAATTTCTATACTATTTTAGCATAACGTTCAAATAAATTAGATCGGTGTGCATTTCAATAGTGTTACGTTGTAAACACAATGGGCGTTATTGACCAGCATGTATGGCATTGATCCCCCACAATATAACTCGCTTAGTACATGCAGCACGTGGATGATACGATCGTAACAGCTACGGAATGAAATATTCGATCAATAGGATTTGAATGGTAGGTACTAGTCTTTCTCTTTGAGAACAATTCTACAACGTCATGAGTTGTTTCATATATAAATCCATTATTATTATTATTATAATTCATAAGAAAATCTTTCCTATTTCAAACCTAAATGAAAGAATCTTTTATTAATCATATGTCAACGGGTAACATAAAACTCAATATCAATGGTTTCTCGTATTTACATAAATCATCTTAATACAATTAAATTAATTCTAATAGAAAAATTTCATAGGATGATACCAAGAAAGAAACATTAATATATATATATATATATCGTAAAATGTTGTGTCTAGGATACGTTGCAATAATCAGGAGATTTTGAACACACGCTATTGCATGTGTTATCGGTGAATTAATTAGAGACATTGCTGTTAGGTACTAGAAAAATTAACACCGTCTTCTTGGTGTCGGCCTATGAATGCAAAAGGGAAATATGGTGCACGCGATTCTTATTTTCCTTTCTTTTTTTTTTTTTACTATAAAGTACGATCGCGTGCATAGATAAAATGAGTACTAAGGTGAGCTAACGCGTATTACATCCTCGATCGATCTTTCCTCACAGGTATTGTGTTATACCTGTATATAGTTTTCCTATCCTAAAAACCAAACAAATATTTTTAAATCGTTGGATTCTTTTATCGATAGAATATCGATACCTTTTGTTCGATAGTTACGTACGTCGAAATTGTCTTTTCTATGATTAAAATTGAATGGAAAAAGTGAGTGAGAGAGAGAGAGAGAGAGAGAGAGAGAAATACCGAAGATCGGATCACTATCAGTTATTGCACGTAGTTATACCACCAAATGTTCCATTTTTTTTATTCGAATATCTATCGTCTGCGATTTAAAGAGATTTCCTGCAATAGATAGATCGTCGATAATGTTATTAGAAAGAATATAAAGCTTTGTTATTGTAAATTGCATTTATTCTGTTTTCTTTTAAGAAACATTGTATGCAATTACATGCGTTATAAAATTTGTTTTATGTGTTATTTTAATAAAATAAACATAAATTTGTTTATTCGTTTATAAGAAACATCATTTTTAAATTTCAACATAACTTTTGCGATTACTCTTATTTATTTATTTAAATTACACACACACGAGAGAGAGAGAGAGAGAAAGAGAGAGAGTTTCGTTACGTTGTATTCGAAAAATATATAAACGTCGCGTTGCAAACAAGAATCGAATCTCATTGATAAATGTTGATTGAAGATGCAATTGCCAAATAATGGAAATCTTTCGATAGAGATTTAAACTAACATGAGGGTGGGAGGGGGTGGGGGTGGAGTCTATAAGGTAAGTAATTTTCTCATCGACATAGTGCGTTCAATTGTCCTTCCCCTTTTTTTTATTTTTTATTTTATATATCAAAGATTAACTGTTGTTCCTTTTACATGCGACACCGTGATTTATATCCGTAAAACGTTGAAACGAGGTAATGTCGTATAACTTATAAGAGAAATAATAAAGGACACGTCGCCGGAAGGTTTATGGATCTGATATAATATTATTTCAATGCCATAACGTTATTAGACTGACATATACTACGTCAAGAACGTAATATTACAAATATCTTATATTTATGAGTAAAGTAATTTTTTTGTTTTTTTCTTTACGTCTAATTATTATGCCAATTATAAATGCATCATCTTTATTTTTTTTTTTTTTTTACTTAACAACTCATTAAGAAAATTGTTAATTTTTTCATAATTTGTTTCACTTACAGGAGTTTAAAAAACTATTTCCCTTTTACCACTTCATTTTTTAAATACAACAAATTTTTCAGCAATATACGAACAATGAATAAAAATTATATCGATCTTATTAGATTGTTAATTAGAAGGAATATAATATTAGAGATTTTTTATACCGTATGTATTATAAGATTGTCATTTTATCACATGGGACAAGACGATGATGTAAAATTCAGTAGAAAAGGTATTCGCAGTGGAGCCATTAATTATAAGAAGAAAGAACCGTTTGAATCTTTGCCCTTCACTTTTGGTCGATGCTTCCTCAATCCCCGAGGCTCTTTCTCTTCTTGCCACTTTCGAAGTCATCTTATTTTCTTCATTATACGAATGATAAATACAGTTATACTAGATTTACGTGATAACGTAAAATAGGAAAGAGACTCGTAGTAAAAATTTAATAGTTACGATTTTATTTATCTACAATAAATGGAAAATATTGTAAGTTTTATGTTATACAATGATCGTCATTATTTTTCTCACCTGAAAAATCTCTGTATTATATATCGGAATAATTTTCGTCGATTGAAAGGATCAAATAAAATAAAACAATTGTTGTTATATGCAAAAATGTTTTTATTGTTTCGTTTAAGGACATTTGTCATTAAATTCCATAGACAGTTGTAATATCCATATATTTCTTATCCTTTCGTAATTCAATTCGAATTTTAAACACATTTATTATTTTATTTTATCTTATTTATTTTTTTTCTTTTCTCTTTTTTTTTTCTATAATTTTCATCTTATGAATAATTCAATTCAACGCATCGTGCCTCGTCAATCGTCTCTTTCAGCACCACCATATATGTGTATATTACATAGTTTCGCGAGAAATTAAATCGAGAATACGTAAATAACGTGTATATACATATATGTGTGTTTGTGTATATGCGCTCGTGCATATAACGCGTACTACGTATGCACTTTATATTTATGTATTTTGCGTGACATTGCAAGTAAGACCGAAGGTCTTGTTTTTTAAACGGTAATGCTCTTCTGCGGGCTAATGTAATCAAAGAAATCTCGTTTTTAAACTGGGAGGAGGAGGAGGAGGAGGAGGAGGCTCGTGAGAAAATGCGAACAGCTAGTCTGTGTTTATCGTCACCCATCGTTTCATGCTGCTTGTATGTACTCGTAAAAACGATCATTTCGAGAGTTACTAGCTGCTGCTGCTGCAGCTTTACTTTTTTTTTTTTTCTTTTTTATATATATATATATATTCGACACAGCAATGTCACACAACTCGAGGCACACCCAACGAAACGAAGTTGAAGAAAGTCTCGCGAATTTTTCCCATATTTTCTTTTCTTAGCTTTTTCCTTTTTTTTTTTTTTCCATAAAAGCAAGAAATCTCGTTCGAGTCGTTGTATAAAAATGTTAGGACTTTTCTTGGCTTTCTTTTTTCTTTTTTTTTTTGAGTTTGTAGGTTCGCAGGAATAAAAAACAAGTATGTATTTTTATTTTTGAAAATGTGTACCTTTCACCATTGACTTCATTACCCTCCTTTCGAACTTTTATCCGGATAATTTTCAATTTCAAAGAATTTCGATAACGAATTACCAATATATTTCTATTTTAAACGATTGAAATGAACTTAAGGTAAAAATTTATTATAAGATGAGATCGTGTATGTTTCTATTTGAATTTGGATTCATCTGATAATAATTGTTTTGATGAACATTTGATAATACGCGAACACTTGTACAATTAAATATTATCTTTATCGATATTATTTTCTTCTTAACGAACTTGTTTTTGTCAGATAATTAATACAACCCAACGGGAATTTAAAGATTGTTCAATTTTTTTTTTTTACGGACAAAACTAAGAACGCAAACACGTTGTTATTGTTCATTAATCTTATTATTGTTGTTGAGGGGGGGGTCTTATTCATTTTGCATAAATATTGACAAGAATTGCATACAGGAAAGATCCATTGTTTATAGATTATCGGTAACAATTGTATATAAAATATAGTTAAAAATTATCGCCCATACGATTATCCGTATAATTTTTTCATTTCTACGAATATGCATATCGATGTTATTGTTTTCACAGACATAGTTATGGTTACGAGGGTTAGAAAAACAACAGTGCACGTGATTTGTAAAATTGATTATGTTACTCCCATATGTGTATATATCATAACTAAATGCATGGTTAACAGTAATAATGTGCTTCTGATAATTGTGACGTACGTATGTTGTTTCAATGTGCACCCGAGCATATATACCAGTGCTTGAATTTTACATAACATATTTCCAGTAATTAATATCATAAGACGTCGTTTCTCGCGTACAGTAACAAACGATGCGAAGATTACGTAATTTTATATCGATTTAACACTCTCACGAGTGATAAGAATTTGATTAATGACCCATCGATTTTAACGTCGCAGAAAAATGCAATTAGAGTGTTGCGTAAAAGCATCCTCTTTAAAGTGTATTATCCTTCGATCGATATTTTTAATGTACACTTTAATAAAAATGCATTATATTTATTATTTAATATTTAAACGGTATCGTATACTTCAATTTCATATTAAATGATACAAATCCAACGTTTACATCAGTAAATATTTCCCCATTGAATATGTCTATCGTTGCACTAATAATGCAATTGGTTAAATATCGGCAAAATAAATGAGAAGAGATTTTAATATAATTGCAATATATTGAATATCTTGAAGAATATATATATATATGTAGTTGATTTTTATTTTCTTTTATTATTAAAAAAAAAAAAAAAAAAAATACCACACACAAAAGGATAAAAAACGTTAATCACTTAACGCATAAATCAAGGTATTATACAATTATTATCGTTCATTAGAATACTAAACTCTCTCTCTTATTTGGAATAATTTTAAAAGTAATCAAAGAAAATATTATAAATGAATAATTTATGAAGTTAATGGGAATTACCGAGTTAGCGTAAAAAATCATTTCTCTTTTCGAGCTTAAGGAATATTCAAGAATTTTAGATTATACTTAAAGAACGAATTCCTAATAGTTCTTTTTTTTTTGTTTTTCTACTTGTTAAAGTTTTTCTTCCTTTCTTTCTGAAATGATATATCATTCCAATCTTGAGATTTTACGAGTGCGTTACGCCTCTTTTAGGAGATCGATGCTTTCAATCATCGTCGATGTTTTCTTCTCGTAACTTGCTCGTTTTTTGTTGAACAACATGTCGGTAGAATTATTATCTAATAGGTCTTTATTATCTCGATTTTAAGTAGTAATTTTTTCTATCACTTCTTTATACCTCGACGATTGTTAGACATTTTTTTAAATTATAAAAATCAAAGTACTAATAAAAGATAAATATATTGTATCGTCAAATAGATAACACCGAATTATCAGCTTGATAAATATTGTTTTAGTAATATATATCTCTCTCTCTCTCTAATAAAACTAATTAAAGATTATATGAGAAAGTTTAATAAACTAAATTAACAAGATGAAAATGTTCGTAAAACAAGATCGAAATAATTAACGCAATTATTGGCGTTACCAAATTTTACCGATGCAATTTGTTTCGTATACGTTGCATTGTAGTAAGGGTCTATCAACGGAGTTTACAAATCGATAGCTATCATGCGGTGCTTTTACTGCAGTCGAATGACCCGTTCTGCTTCTATCGTTTTACGTTTGATCCTTCAATTGATTATAAATAGATTGATAGATATATATTTAATATCTGAGAAATCAACGCCAAAAGTGCATATGCGCGAACAAAAAAAAAAAAAAGAAACAAACCAAAAATTCCATATTATATTTGTTTACAACATTTATCTTTAATACTTCCTCCTAACAATATTATTTTCGTTTTGTAAATATTGAAAGAAAGGAAAAAGAAAAGAAAATCGATTAGGAGGAGGGGGTTGGGGGTTAGGGGGGNGGGGGGGTGGGGAGTTAGGTTATTTTTTTTCTTTCTTTTCGCTGGTCTGAGAAAAGGAAAATAGGTGAAAAAAAAAAGAAAATATTGTCGAAATATTTCTTGTGCGAATGATATATATATATAAGGATTGCGTACTCGTAAATAAAGTAGAACGGAATTTGTAATTTGTAATAAGAGTAAGGAGGAATTCTTGTTGAAAATTGCAGTCGCATCTCCGCCTGATAGAAGGGTCACGAGAGACGATATGGGGGTGGCCTCGCACGGTGCAGCTGCGAACGCGAATGCGTCTACCGGTGGTTGTTCAAGTGGTACAACTCCACCACCACCACTACCACCATCGCGTCAGCACAATCCTTCCTCCCCTGGTCGAAATGGTCAGCTGTCTAGTAAGTTTCCACAATATTATTACCACGAGAATTCCACTTAGGATTTGTGTTGTTATCACAAATCGACGCGGATTATTCCTCTCTCTCTCTCTCTCTATTCTTTTAATAGATAAATGATTGCGTTATAATACGATTCTCTTTATAACGTTCAAAGACTCGATAACTTTATCTTAGTTCTATCAGTAACATTTAGTGCAACAACGTGGCAAATAATACATAGTACGTATGATATATCCAATTCAGTTTTATGCACGAACGTCACATGATTTTTTTTTTATCTACGAGAATTTTCATTTAATACGTGCGAAATCAAATTCGGATAAAACAAATTTGTCGTTAACCATATAGTAGACGACACTTCATGTGGAAAATTAGAGAAGAGAATAAATAAAAAAGTATTCCTCGTGGTAACATCAGATGTCGCGTAAAAACAAAATTAGGTGTTAGGTATACCTCTCTTATGTATTCCTATTCAGAACTATATATATATACATATATATATATAGTTTTATAGAACCCATATATGTTAATACCGAGTTTGAGAGGTGAGTACGTAAAAGCTCTCTGTTATCGAACGATATCGTCGTTTAATTTCAGAGCAAGGCACGCTGACGATAGTACGACGCAGTTCGGGTAAAAGCAAAAGCCTCGGCGGTGGCAGTTTCGAGAGTTCACCGCCATCCCATAATCCTGACAGGTTTTTGTCGAGTCAGTCAGTTGATCTCGACGAGATCCTTGATAATGTTGATCTCACGACAGATTCGCTACCAGCCATCGACACCCCCGACGCCTGCGACAAAGCTGCCCTCAGGTATGGGAATAAATGAAAAAAAAAAAAAAAAAACAAATAAAAAGTTCAAACGATTTTATCACACATAGAAAAATTTGTTTTTCTTTTTCTTTTTTCTTTTCTTTTCCAACGTCTGATAATACTTCCCTCGACACCACGACTATTATATTATTATATTTGTTATATTATATTTTTCTTTTAATCTTCTCTTTTTCTTTCTTTCTTTTTTTTTTTCTGCTACAGGCTTCGATGTCTGTTGAGGCAACTTCAACACGGCGAAATATCGGCCGAATTGCTTCAAAGAAATTTACATTACGCTGCACGCGTACTAGAAGCAGTCTTCATAGACGAGACAAAGTGAGTTACATTTTTTTCATGGATTTATATCATCTATTTATATATATATATTTTTATTTATTTTGTATCTTGCCTAACGAACGATAAAACAACGTTTCTTACGTATATTATCGTCCTATGTGTCTCTTTTGAAATATACAAAAGTTAGTTTGCAGACGCACGAGAGTGTTACACTATTTTACTTACCATCGCGATATTTTAACTATCCGATAGAGGAAAATAGGATTTTTCTATTATTTCAATAAAACATACAAATTCTAACGAATATAATATATATATATATATATATATGCATATACAAAAGTGTGTGTTTGAAAAAAGAAATTTGTTAACAGACAACAGTCGAATCAATTTTGATTGACTCACCGTTTATTGATTTTCATTGTCTCGTGCGCGCGAATCTAAATATGTTGTGTTGTTCTAGAATGACAATAAATAGGACTAACAGTTTAATTAATGTTTTAATATATATAAAAAAAAAAAAAGGGAAGATTTTGTTTATTTTCGCGATGGTTTTCTTTTGGATTATAACTCACGATCCCGACAAAAGGAAATAATGAAGTAGAGAAAGAATTAGAACGAAAGCTCGAGAGATCGATCGATACGCGCGTTCGATTGAAAATGATATTATATTGTTTAGCATCGATCGAATTCATTACAATATGAAAAATTGTTATTAAATATTTCCATGTAGATGTACTAATCGTTAGAAAGAGTTTATAAGAGTGCCTCTTTAGCTCAGTGGTAGAGCACTGGTCTCGTAAACCAGGGGTCGTGAGTTCAATCCTCACAGGAGGCAAAGCGAAATTTTTTCCCTATTCGCTTTTTACTTTTTTCTTATTATTGTTAACGCTAATTTTAATGCTAGAATATTATCAATAATTATTATTCATCGATTATACTTACTACTATTACTATCATTTAAAATTTTCTACACTTTTAAGATTTATTTCTTGTTATTATTTTATATTATATATATGTTACCACCAAAGCAGGAAATCAGTCATTGCTAATAATTCCTCGGCATTCTTATCAATGCAAAGTGCCTTCCGACGAAGTCTGAAAAATAAGACTATATACAGAGTTTCTTGGGACAGGCACACACAGCCATACGCAACCCCTCCCTCCAAAACAAACCATACAAGTAAAAAACATTTCTTTCTAAACCTGTTTATCTTCCGATATTTATACTATATATTTTTTATACTAAAAGTGAATAGATTTTAATGAAACTTATATTAAATTAAAGTACACTCGTTTGTCTACGCGTAGAACACCATATCGTGTTATAAATCAATCTGCAAAGTTTCATAAAATGACAAACAATGCGATGCTGTAAATTGGACATCTTTGCAATTTCTTTGAAAAGTTTCGGCAAATTACTAGCAATGACTGAATGATTTCCTGCTTTGGCGGTAACATATACACACGTCCACACATACCGCATTAGCAGTGGGATACATATAAATACACATAGAATTGATCTACGGGGTTGATGAATTTAAAATGACATAAATGATATAGAAATTGATGAAGAATTTGTTGAACTTTGATCTCATATGAATTCGCGTTCGGCTAATAATTTTTATTAACGCTTTTCCTGTGTATCCGATGTTACACCGTACACACATTTTAAAAACGTGTGCGATATTTGCTCACTCGAAAGCATGTAACATTAAGTTTGAGAACTCGTAGTTTATACCCAAGTAGACACTTAGGCGTATTATACACCCGATTAGAAAAACTGGATCCCATTGTCCCGAGAAAAATGAATTTCAATTGATTAGAAAAGTAAAATGATATTAAATTTCGATGGTACATTCGGATTATTATTATTATTATCTGTTACCCTTATGCCTATTGGATAAACGAAACAAGTAGTTTAATGTTTCCTTCGACATTAATTTATAATATTTTCTAATTTATTGTTATCGAATTTTTTGTTCGGTCATACAAAAGAAAAAAAAAAAAAGAAATGATAAGATAATGGTATAATAAATAATAATGGTGAAAATCTTGAAGATTTCTTACTACAACTGAAGGAGGGTTCTTCCATAAACGCTCTTATACTCTCATGGCTGCTATTACATTTTTTCGATTTCCCGTAAAAGCATTTTCCAGGTTACCTTCGAGGATGGTGAACTTGGCTGCTGCTTCAAAGACTAACCAAATTTTCATCTCATAGTTTATTTTATGTCTCTTTTAAGTCAAAGCAGCGGGAAAAAGTGGTGACTTTTTCGGTATTTTAGAATGCTTTTTCCAACGTGATACGATAATACGGTAAAATGTAACATACGCAGTAGAACAAAAAAAAAAAAAGGAAAAAGAGGGGCTATTGAGAAGGAAAAAAAGAGAAAAAAGCAATAGGATACAAAAAAAAAAAGAAAAAAAAGGGCAGATATAGAAAAAAGAAAGAGAAAAAGTGTAATCTATGACTATTTTATTCTTTTCTATATATGATGAACTAACGAGCACTACCGCAGGGTGAGTTCAGGCGGGAATGAGTGCTCTCGGTCATCACGTAGGGGTGCGGTTCTGACTTCTACATCCCTGGGGGGCAGCATGGACCCGGATGGACCACAGAGCCACGCGGTGGTAACCCAGAAAAGGAAGCTTCGCACCCCTGTGTGGGAAAGGTTGCGAAACATTCACATTTCCTACCCCCCAACAAAAAATAACACGAATCATCATTTCTCTTCACATTCGAAGATACCCTTAAACAACCACCACAACCCCACCCCCACCCCCAGCCCCTAGCCCTTCGATGCCTGTCACTCCTTCGCCGATGTTCGTAGTGGGTTAACGTGACATGCCAGATATCGCAACACAGTGTTCTTGACCATAATGCATTGTATGCTAGAACGCTGCCAATGATCACCATCCCCACCCCATAAGGGTAGAGCGATTGACTCCGCACGTATTTAATCGTTCCTCTAACCTTCTACTACTGTATTTTTAAAACGTCTTTCAATTGATTCTACCTTACTTTCCTTTCCTTTCCATTCCTTTCCTTTCGGATAAAGGAATATTCTGTTTGTAGTATAAATAATTTTGTACGTATCGACGTCATCGCTCTTCCCTTCCTTCCGATCAGTACTGACTTATGACGCGGGATGATAAATACGAAAAAGAAAAAAAAAAACTCAATCTTACCTCACACTCCTTTTACTTTTTTTTCTTTTCTGTTTTTTTTTTTTTGCTACCGTACCTCTAGGGAATACAGATCCCCATGTTAAATAGTCGATTTGGAGTTACCTTTTTTTAAAGCTTAAGGGATAATATGATCGATGGCGATCCTGTAACTTTTTTCTTTTCTTTTTTTTTTTTCTTTTCTAGCGAGAGAGACATCTCTCATTCTCTCTCTCTCTCTCTCTCTCTCTCTTTGCGTAGTTTCACGAATATTAGTTACATCGTTAGGACGTTTATAAAATCACACTTGCAAGATTTCTATCGACACTTTTTGTTTTTTTTCTTTACTTTTGTAAATGCATCGTAATTTTGTATAGAAAAGTATTATATATATATAGATTGGGGTTAAACTTGTTTAGAATAAAAAAGACAAGAAAAAAAAAAAAAGAAACACGCGGTATTATACGGTAGACAAGGATTATTTCATCTAAAAAAAAAAAAGAAAAAAAGGGAAGACGTGTAATAGAATATTTTGAAGTAGTATAAGTATTTCTGAAAAGTTAGAGAATAATACGGGAATCACGGGACACTTAAAACACAGCATGAAGATGTTGATTCCAAGCTGCCTGTACGCCTCTGTACTATTTTCACCCTCTCTATCTATCTATCTATCTATCTATCTATCTATCTATCTATCTGTTACTTTTTAGTTTCTCCCATTTTTTCTTGTATACAATAGATTCTTTTTAGGTGTAATATTCTTCGCGGTTACCGGATATACCTGCCTGCTACAAGTTGCATCGTTTATATATTGTTATATACTATTTACATTTGTATTATGTTTTCTCCTCTAAGTTCCAGAGAGAGAGTGCATGTATATATACACACACACACATAGGGCGTTTTTAAAAGTTATTAACTAATTATTCGTTTGTATGCTTCGAATTATAACGAATTGACGAAAAAGGAATCAAACGGGATCAAACGTTACCCGTAATCGGTCAAATTGTTCAAACGGGGGTGACTCGAAAGTTCGTCGATATTGAAAAAAGAACAAAAGATAAAAAAATAAGAACAATAATAATAATAATAATAATAATAATAATAATAAGTAGGGAAGATGCTGACTTGTTTGGTATTGATGAAATTCATCCGAATTTTTTCGTCACCCCTTATCGCGGTCGAACGGGGACGTTTGTTTGTTTTTTTTTGTTTGTTTTGTTTTTGACAACGGTTAGATCGAATGTAAAAAGAAAAACACCCTCAATGTTACATGTCTTTTCTTTGATGTTTTACATTGTAGAGATGCCGACCATACGGAATCAGCTGGTACTTGTCGACAAGGTGTACGCCGTAGGTTTGTGCAAAAGTTTGACTTCAACCAACAACTACAATATTATCTCACGATTGTTCATCGTTTATCTGTTAAATATTATTAATAATTTTAATCTCCTGTCACACACACGCTATAATATAACACACGAGTATTTTATTTTGCATGACATATTATTATATTATTGTTTCTTCATGACGAATTTACCCAACAGATTTTTATCTTTTCATTGAAATATCATTATTTCAGCTATCATTCACATTTAGAGATGTACGTACGTTGATAATTAGATAATTATGTTTCGTTCTTCTTTTATACGAACTTTAGTACAAAAAAAAAGAAAAACGTTTCAATCAGAAAAATGAAAATGATTTTAACTTTATATTCCTTTTTTTTTTTTTTTTCTAACCACAGTTCGCAATACAATTATTATATTATATATCTTCTACCTATATATATACACATTTAAAAAATTAATACATATATCTAATTATTTACGTACTTAAGTCGTAAATAATTTTAGTCGTAGGTTATAATTTTCATTGGTTGCCTGCATTCCTTGTATAATTATACCACTATACATAGATCGTCGCTGTGAATAATAAACATGTTTTTCAGGATTATCGAAAATATTTTCAATCGTGAACGAATGTAGGTCGACGATCTTTAAAATCGTATAACCAACAGCTGATTGTACTTTTTATAATTTTTGTGTTAAGGGAAATAAATCGTATTGAAAATCAAACATATATATTCGTTTGCGTTGGTAGATAAAATAAATATGCATCTGTTAATCGTCAACATTTTTGATTCGTAGAAATGTTTTCATTAAAATAATGCGTTCGTATACGAAACGTCTCGTATTTATTGTTAGATTCACGTTACTGTTATTTCAAATATACGTAGAGTTGAGTTTTGTATGATTTAATCAAGGGCGGGGGCGGGGGCTTGGTGCGTGATAGAAAAAGAAAAAATAGAAAATGAAAATATATTTTTGTAAAATGCAAATTATTTCGGTAAAATAAAAAAATACAAAAAAAAACAAAAAAAAGAAAAGGGATATAATCGGTAACTCGATTAAAATGGGTTTCTAGTTACACTGTCGTTCTATTTTGATATCACGTAACGTAAATACAAACGTATATATGTATTATATATTTACTTATATACGTGTTTTGCGCTTGCACGAATACCTAAAACGTATTCCTCTCGCGTTGGTTTATTCGTACGATATGTCACCAGACGCGAATTCCCGTCGATTCATTACGCGTACGTTCAGATAGAAGACTACGTTGTAGTACTACGTTGAACAACTTTTCAAAGGGTCGCTTTGATCTAAATTTGATTTAAATCTTAGTCATGGTAACATATATATCTATATATATATATTTTACTAACGTCTCGAAATTCATAATCGTAATCGGGTTCGTATTATATTATATTTTCAACGTTTAACAAAAGTATTTTGAGAAAAATAATTAATTTAGCTTGTTTTATATTTGTTTTTCTTCTACCTTTTTTTTTTTATATAATTGTAAACGAAGGTAGGATTTTTCGAAGCGTGCGCTTTGATATTACATCGATTGGTTCATAGATATATCGAAGATCGTTAATATTAGATTCGTATGATTTTCCTTTAGACGATTGGCAGATGAAGATGACGAACTGTCAGAAGTACAACCGGATGCAGTACCACCCGAAGTTCGAGAATGGTTAGCATCGACATTTACCAGACAGCTTGCTACGACAAGACGGAAGGCAGACGAAAAACCAAAATTTCGATCTGTCGCACATGCCATTAGAGCTGGAATATTTGTTGATCGGATTTATAGGAGAGTAACCAATACCGCTCTTATGCAATTTCCACCGGATGTGGTTAAAGTACTCAAGGTATTTTTTTTTTCTTTTACTCTCTCTCTCTTACACGAATGCATTTATATAATATATTTCTTCTTGATATTAAATATGAAATATTAAAATGTATAAGAGCATAAAAAAATAACGTGAATCTTGACATTATTCAACTTTTCACTTTTTCACGGTTAACATGTATATATATTATTTCTCTAGTAGAGATAATAGGAATGAACCTTGATAAATATTAATTGAGAATGCAACTCGAAGAAATTCTGTTAATTCGCGTTGGTCGTTAATTGCTTGCGCCAACTTTTAGATTGCCGTTATTTTAATTAGACAGATATAGTTCTCGTTAATATATAGTCCCTCAAAGCAAATATTATTAGCAAATAACTTTTCTCTGAATCTTAATGAATCTTAATTCAAGACGTTGGACGACTGGTCTTTCGACGTGTTTTCATTGAGCGAGGCTGCACTCGGAGCTCCTGTTAAATATATAGGCTACGACCTATTGAATCGTTACGGCATGTTACACAAGTTTAAAGTGCCACCTGCGGTTCTGGAATGTTTCTTAGGAAGAATCGAAGAAGGATATTGTAGACATCGGAATCCATATCACAATAATCTTCACGCAGCTGACGTTGCTCAAACAATGCATTACATTTTGTGCCAAACGGGGCTAATGGTGAGTTTATTAGAAATTTTATAACATCTATCATATCTAACGAACTCCTTGTTCGATATTTCGATTCGAATGTTAACACTCTAGGTAAAATAATGATCAATGATTAACAATGAATACCAAAATGGGATTGACAATTAATTTCCTAGTTGAAAGTTAAATAATCTCTTTTAATCTGACGAGTGTTATTACTCTTTGCAGAATTGGCTGACCGATTTAGAAATATTCTCATCTCTCGTAGCGGCTATTATTCACGACTACGAGCACACAGGGACCACAAACAATTTCCACGTAATGTCTGGCAGTGATACGGCGCTTCTTTATAACGACCGAGCTGTGTTAGAAAATCACCATACATCAGCTAGTTTCAGGTGTTATACGAAATTTCAATTTACTTTGAAAAGTTTTCTCACACACGTTTATACGCATAATGATTTGAATTACAAAAATTGTTGGCGGAGGGATAAAGGGAAACGATATACATTGTTTTTATTTTTTTTTTATTTTTTCTATTTTTCAGAATATTAAGAGAAGACGAATGTAATATTTTGCAAAATCTGTCGCGAGAAGAATACAGAGAATTTCGTTCTCTCGTTATCGACATGGTATTGGCGACCGACATGAGTTATCATTTTCAACAGCTGAAAAATATGAAAAATCTTTTAAGCTTGGCAGAACCTAGCGTTGACAAAAGCAAAGCCGTCAGTCTTGTATTACATTGCTGCGATATTTCTCATCCAGCGAAAAGATGGGATCTTCATCATAGGTTAGATTATCACACACACATTTTATTATTTATATCGTAATATTTACTTATCGTAGTATATATATATTTCGCAAATAATCGAAATAATTTCTCTTTTTATTTTTTTTTCTCCGTATGTATAAATAATACAACAACGCCTTTCGCCAATTTTTTGCGTGGCTCTGCAGGTGGACGACGCAGCTGTTGGAAGAGTTTTTTAGGCAAGGGGACAAAGAGAGAGCTCTTGGCTTGCCGTTTTCACCTTTATGCGATCGAAATAATACATTGGTAGCGGAATCTCAAATTGGTTTTATAGAATTTATCGTTGAACCGAGTATGCAAGTGTGCAGCGATATGTTGGAGACAGTTCTTGCACCGTTGAATGTTAAAGAAAGCGTAGATGAGTCTGCTAATGGTAAACTTTTTAATAATTTCGATAATTATATTGTCATTATTATTCATTTGTTTTTATGTGTGTGTGTGTGTAAATGAATTTCAAATAATTCATAGATACGTTTTATTGATATCGTAGGTTCGACGGCTGAAAGTAACAGGTTTAAAATAGGAAAACCATGGATACAATGTTTAGCGGAGAACAAACAAATTTGGAAGGAACAAGCAGTTCGTGGTACGTTATTTATAAATAATTATAACAAAATCAAGAGAAGAGAGAGAAATATATCGAAAAATTGTTCGAACAAATATATCATTTCAATTAAAGGATCGTGATGTCTCCTTTACGAATAAACTTCCATATCTAAAATATAATTTAAATTCTATCTTTGTTTTTTTATTAACCTTTATATAAAAATATTCTCTTTGGGGAGATTCATCGAACGATAATCGAGTCAAGTGCATATACATTCGATCGATATTTATTTACGAGATAGATTTGTTTGAAAATAAATCTATATATATATATATATATATATATATATATATATATATCTTTTCTTCGTTTCAATATGAAATATTAATTTTGTTGAACAATTTCGAGCCATTTTCACGAGTATCCATCCTTTTGATCAAATCACTTTGTGTTCTATCTCATCGTCTTATCTTTTTTGTTGTTCCTTTCCTTTTCTTTTCTTTTCATTTTTTTTTTAAATATAAATACTTTGATCGTTTGTATATTTCTACAGATGCAGAGGCTAGGGCGCAAAAGGAAGCGGAACAAAATTCGAATGAGGAGGGGGAAGGTGGGGAGAACGTTCAAACGACTGCGGAAGAGTGAAACAAAAAAATAATCGAGATGACGATTCAAGCTTGATAAATAAAATAGCGAATATATCTATGTGGGATTTTAGGCTACCAATTGACGAAAGATATATTCTCGTACAAACGAGAAATCGGAAACAAAAAAAAAAAGAGATATACCAAAAAGGAAGGAAATAAGAAAAAATCCAGAAAAGAATAAAAAAAAAATGAAAAAAACTACTACTACTACTACTACTACTACTATTACTACTACTACTACTCGCGTTTAAGCCGAACTTCGTTTTCTCTGTCGTTTTCTCTGAAAACATTTTTTTCCTCGTCTCAACACCTTTGTATTTATGAATAGAAATTACAAAAAAAAAAAAAAAAAAAAAAAAAAAAAAAAAAAAAGAAAAAAAAAACAAGGGTAATGAAATTTCACCGCGAATGCGAAAGTAGATTATTTACTTAGAAGGAAAAAAAAGAAGAAAAATCGTGTATGCTACTTATGTACATGATGATGATGATGATGATGGCTCTCTCTCTCTTTCTCTCTCTTTCTCTTTCTCTTTCTCTTTCTCTCTCTCTTTCTCTCTCTCTCTCTTTCTACGTATAACACAAATACCTCGACGCCAATATTCGTGCAACGACAAATTTCCTAGAAACTTTTGAAAACAAGCAACCTAGAGAAGCCGTCGTTTATTTCAAAGAAACACCTTGTGTTTATTCTGCCAACACAGAAAGAGAATAATCGATTTTGTTTCGGTCCCCATTTCTATGGCAGACCTAAGTTTCGTTTTGCGTTAGGTTTGTTACTTTTTTATTCTCTCTCTCTCTCTCTCTCTCTTTTTATCTATTTCCAAAATCTTGAATATTTTTACGATCACGTTAACACAAAGTTCTAATTATCGTAGCCTAAAACGATAGATGACAAAAAAAACTTTGTTCAAAGTTAGACAGTTATTAATTTTGTTAATAAAATAAAAAAGAAAAGGGAATTATATCGATAAAGGGTTATATAGCCATAGGATGATTGCTAAATTTAATCTTGCATTGTCATTCTATTCTTTTCTATTTTTTTTTTTTTTGTTTGTTTTTATCTAGCGTTAGAAAAAATGCATAGAAAAATGCATGGGATACGTTGTATCTTCGTAGAATGATCGCGAGAACGGAGATTAAATTTTGAAAATGATTCAACCCATCAACGAATCTTAGTACAGAACTGTTTAAATACAATATTCACAATACGCATCGATTAAATTATTACGCATTTTTTTTTAAATTAATAAATTAGAAAATTAAGCGGATAGAAAAGTGTGGAGACCGAACGATATATGAAGGATGGAAAAAAATATAATCAATCGAATTCGAATGAATATTATCGAACATCGCGAGATAAATATCTGGATGGGGGGGGGGCGGGTTTCCTGTATAAATCGCGTTCCGTGCTTTTAGATTTTATTTGATTATTTTCTTCTCCTCTCTTCTCGTAATAGAACACGAACGAGATTCGTATTTAATATCGACGTTATATTCGTGGGGGGGGGGGGGGGGGGGGGGGAGTGGCTGGGATTATTGTAAATATGCTTCAACGAGACGCACATTAAAACTTATTTTTATACTTTCACATTTACCTCGACGAAGAAAGTTAAGAGGGAAAAGTCAAAAAAAAAAGAAAAAAAAAAAACAATCTAACTTACGTAAGTAATACGAGAAAAACGCGTATCATTATTTAGAAAATAATTCAATTAAAAGATATTTATTAAAATTGTTTATAATGTATAATGTATTTTCTTTTTTCGATTATATATCGCACAAACAAGTAGCGAGTACTATTATCTATCCGTTCCATTCGAATAAAACGTCTTTTTCGTTTGAGAAGATGTGAAAATAGAAACGAATAAGAAGGTAAATCCGTCGTACTTTGGAAATGGTCTCCTCTAACGTGAAAACGGATTTATAGGATTTTATGGAGATTTTTTTGCAAGATCAAAGTATATACTTGCATTATTTCTCTCTCTCTCTCTCTATCTTTCTTTGAATCGATAGTCTGATCGAACGGGGTTTGGGGGAGGAGAGAGAAGGCTTATGGGATTTTACGCATAAAGCCTTAACCGATTAGAATCTCGAAAGTATAATAATTAATAGACACAAATAGACACACTTATTTACATATATATATATACATACTCACGTTATAGATACACACAGATATCTATTCGTGAACGCGTCGAGGTAAAGCTTTAAAATCGGTGTATAATTAATGTAAAAGATTATAAAATAATAGTATACAGTTAGTGTTTATTTAAACGTGTGTGTATGTGTGTATGCTATGTCAATGTATATGTCAACAACAACAACAACAACAAGAAAAAATAGAAAAAAGATTATATGTGAATCGGATTGTGAGAGCCAATGTATGTGGTTTATTAAATAGGAACACGTTAACGCGTTAGAGTACTCTGATCATTTAATTTATCCGACAATGATGAACGAATACTCGTTTAAAAAGAAGGATAACAAGTTGTTACGACTAGGTTGCTGCTGTAATCTGCGGTATATCTTTGGCAGCCTAGAAGGAATTTATCATTCAATTATGCAACTCTCTTTAGATCACGTAACAACCGTGCAAGTATTTTTCGCGGTAACGTAACTACTACTATTATTAATACTAATACTATTACCACCTAATCTCGTCATAGATGATATTTAGTTAGAGAACTAATTCTCGGTTCTCCGTGTATATATATATATATATATATATATAAATGTAGACGTTATATATCATTTTATCAAATGTTATAATCGAAAATATCATTCGAGAAACAATGAGAATGAGAGAAAGAGAGTTAGAGATAGGGGGTGAGGAAGGAGTGGGGGGGGGAGGGAGAGAAAAAGAAGGACCAAGATGAAGTTAATAAGAGGTAAACGTATCATCTTTTTACGTACCTGTCGTCGTCGTCGTCGTCGTCGTCGTAGTAGTAATAATAATAATAATAATTAATAATGCACTTACACTCGCGCGGTACCTAACAAATGTTTCAAAATAAATTATCAAATACGTTTCTCAAGTCGTTTACTTAAAGAGATACATACATACATACATACATACATACATACATACATACATACATATATACGAATAAATAAAAAGAAAAAGAAACAAACTGAGAGGAAAATAAAAAGGTGGAAGAGGCTCGTAAGTGGGTGGTGTCGTTTTAGTACTTTAAAACATCTTCGTCGAGTGAGTGCATGGGGTATGCATCTAATATCAATAACAGAGACAAAATATTAATAATAATTTATAATTTATAAACATACGTTATATATATATATATATATATATATATATATATATATCAAACATATCCGTCCTTTATTTATTTATTTTTTTTGCTATTTATTCTATTCGATCGTTATAGTTAGTGTTATTTAACATTTTAACAAGCAGAATGGTACGGATGTGAGGAATATACGTTGCACGTGTATACGTTGATATTCTCTCTCTCTCTCTCTCTCTCTCTCTCTCTCTCTTTCTCTTTCTTTTGAAACTTGGTAACGTATATACTTAGAGTAGTGTAAATAGAGCCTTCTGCGCGTAAACTTATTTATTTTTAATAGCTGGCAGAGAACTATACTATACTCTTTTATATATTAATGTTGCAAATTGAAATAGCGCAGTAATAACGTTCGCACACTACTCACTGAAAAAAAAAACCCTCACCGTTCCTTTTAATAACCGTCAATTTGTCAATTTCGTTTGTGTTCGAACTTGGACGGACAACGTTGCGTACGAAGTTTCCTCTCTCGATTTAAACGATTTTATTATAATATTATTACCTGTGTATGTACGTGTGTGTGTGTGTGTGTGTGTGTGTATGTGCCTGTGCGTATATAGAGAATTGTGTTACTAGTTACTATTTACAAAGAGAGTAAAAGAACGGAAGAAGAGGAGGAAGAGGAAGAAAAAAAAATATATATATACATCAAGAGAGAAAAGTGAATTTTTTGTTTTTCTGTCAAAGTAAATCTAGTCGAAATATTTGACTTGAGACGTAAGGTCTGCGCGTTCGTTTAAATAATAATAATAATAATAATAATAATAATTAAAAAAAAAAAAACAAAAGAGAGAAAAAAAGAGAAAAAAAGAAAAGAAAAAAATTAAAAAAAAATATATATTATATTATATATATATATTATAACACGCAAGAGAACGAACGAGAGGATTAACAAACGAAATATATTCCGACGTTAACACAAAGTAAGAAAAGTACGAATTTAAGTATCCTTCCTGCGACGGATGAGGGGCCAAAACGCGTGAATAGAAATAAGATAACGTACCTATACCTATTGGAAGTAGGTTTGTAAAAAAAAAAAAAAAAAAAAAAAAAAAATAGTATCGGATCGCACGATCGCGAACAAAAAAATTAATATATATATATGCAAAAGTTTTGAACCAAAAATTAATTATTTCCGATAATAATTTC